GTTGGAATTTTATGTTAGTAGATTCTGAGACAGAAAAATGCGAATTAGTAAGAGAATATCAGTCAAGATTTCTTTGAAAGTCTCAAACTCAACATCCAGCTCCACATGCAACGTGAATTCTCAAGGGCTAAGGAAAAATATGGCTACACTAAAGCAGAATATCTCACTGTTCAGATAAATACTTTAGGACAGACGAGCTTTATACGATGATCGTCACAACAAGAGGCCTTCCATTATACCACAATTTTAGCACATTTTCGAATAAGTCTAATAAATTAATAAAACTTTGCTTAGCAGGCAGAAGAGTAAGGATTAGTGGCCAGAGTTCTTTCATTTTTAATTATGTCAAGCCAAAAATGTAGCCATGCAGATCCATTCTTACCTATCAAATGGGTTATCTGCAGATATGGCCGATGAAAGCTGATCAAGAGTGGTCAAATTGCAACCTCGATTGATGTTGTTCAAGACTGAAATAAGCCAGTTGGAAGCACATCTCGCACGGCTAGTAAGCTGGCCAGCTCGACGCTCGGCTTTGGCTAAATGATCTGCTTGAATTTGGATTTCTTGAAATAAATGATCTAACCAAATGGAGCGTCGCAAAAGCTGACGAGAGGCTAAAAAAACGCTGAAATGCGAATAATAATTGGTACAAATTAGTGATACTAACAAAGGATGCATATTTCAGCAGGATAAACATAGTATAAGGATGTCTATCAATCCACCGTTCCCATGTTGATGGTAATTTGATCAGGGAATAAAATGTTGCAAACATGAGGGAGCCTTGAACAAAAAGATAGATGAGCCATCCTCCAAACATAAATCATTTCCCGAGAGCTTAGATATCGCCTCTATTATTATAACATAATATACGTCCAATTAAAAAAACAAGCGGGCCTATTTTATCGAAGTATCTCCATCACATGAGAATTAAGAAAAGTCTATCTCACTCAATAATTTAAAATTGCCGCAAATATGTATAGCAGCAGTCCCTTTATCTGGCCTATCAAACGCAAGTAGTGACTACTCCACTATTAGTTTAGCTACATCTCACGGTCATCTTTCGACTCATGCAAAATCAGGCGAAGCGTGACTCACTGGCACTGTCCCACGGGGACTAGGCATACCAAGTCACCACGTCGGGCATCTCCTTTTAGCCAATCATAGCGTAGCACTAAAAGTGCACAAGAGTATTTTAAGTAGGAAATTAGCTCGATTGTGAACTGTGCCTCCACTTCCTCGCTTTGCGCTGTCGCCCTTTGTGACCGCACGCTGCCCTCTTGCACCAACACCACACGTCAGCATCGTCCGAGCTTTTTCCCACACCGAGATCATCGCCTGTAAGTTTCCTTATTGTATACGAGGCACTCGCTTTCCTATTCCTCTATACAAGGCTCTGGTAGCGCAAAGCCGAGCACATATCTATAGTCACTAAAACTCCATTCTATCTTAAGAAAACGATAGCAAAAGTAAGAGTACATGAGAAGAAAGTCCTATGTTTGCTAAGTCACTAGTGGATGAGCTTCCACTGACCAAAAGGGTAATAGGGAAAGAGTTATCTCCGACTCTAAACACTGATTGAGTTGTCCGTGTTAATAAAATCGAATCCCTCCACGAGTTTTCATCTAAGGTGAATAAATCTATTGTATATAGAGGTAAACTCATAAGTTGTAGTGGAAAAATGAAATAATCCAATCGAGGTCAATTCCACACTAAAAGTTGAATTGGTTAAGGCTTTATTTTCCTTGTCCTGTGACTCGTAGGCACCAGTAGGTGTTTTGCAGTCGTAATGTTGTCACTTAAAGCATACGACTCGGATTCCAGTCCATTTGGATATGCTGGTAATAATCAGTAAAATGTAAGGCTAATATAGTAGTTGCTTAACCTCGTTTTCACAACCTAGACGTATTGCCCGAGGATGAGGTGAGCACACCGCGTCTGGAGTCCCATGCAATAATAGCAATGTCAAGCGTTTGACCGTTAGCCTATTTCATATAGTCCCAGATGCTCGTCAGAAAGCCTTACCAGGTTCAGCACCAAACGCGTTGGAGTCATGCGAAATCAACCGTTGATCAGCGTTTGGCTGAAAAGCCGTGTTATCTATTATTCCGTCCTGGTACATTCATCTATCTCATATGCTTATTTTAAACAGCTCCGAAGGCCCTTTTGAGACGATTTATTAAGGTCTATTCACAATTCGGCTGGTTCCCCATCCTTCCAGTGTGATATAAAAGTTGGACAAATTTAGCCATTTTCTTCAGCAATTTCAATTTAATTTAATCAATCTCCGACGTTGGAAATTACCAATACCACTATGCAGAGGACTCCGGGCAAGGTGAATTCACTTAGGTCCTTCTGACAATACGATTAAGCTGATAAGAAAGGGGTGGAACTAATCCTATACAATAAATGGAGACCTCGAACATACTAGAGGCTACACCATAATCTCTATACCCCTGATTTAAAATATAGTCCTAGCACTAGTCCCATAAATAATAAGTAAAGCTTTCGAATACAGTAAAATCGATCTTAAAAGCTTTTAGTGGAAAAGCCTAAACAAGCAGACTAACGTACCGTCTGCGCAGCATGGATAGCCAGTCAATGAATAGGTCTAGTGTTGTAGCCGTGGTCTGGAGACACGATTCTTGACGCTGCTGATGCACTAGGTTGCGAACCCTCTCTAGCTCAGGCGAATCTGTATGATCGAGTCCATCTTGACAGTTAGAAATCAGAAATGGGCTACCTGGAAGAGTCAGTGAGTAGGAAGTTTGTGCGGAGAGAAAATCCACCATATTCTTGGCCGTAGTAAGCAAGGTATCAAGTGTTGAGGAGTAAAACTGAAAATAGATGTATATGAATACGATGGGCATCAATTTCGACCTCGTCACGGTCTGATAGGCATCTCAGAGGGACTTAAAGCAATAACTTAAACATATTATAGGCCAAACAATCCAGTGACCGTAGGCTACGCTGTATATAAATTTTAAAATCAAAGCACCTTTGGGGACAAATTCCATATCTATGAATAATCCTGCGCTAGATAATCATTTCGAGTAAAGGTGTGTGATCAAGCTATCGACTCAAGAAAACTAACCGGTTAATCCATAAATGCTAAACTAACAAAATTACAATATACAATTAAAATTCATAGATTTAGGGTATAAATATATATACACTGTATTTAGGAAAAAGCAGATTTGTTTTATTAACTCGTTGGCTTTAATTGGCTGAAAAAATGAGGCCCTGCTCTGATTATGTCCATCGTTAGAGAGAAAAACCTAGCGAGTTTTCACTGAAATCGAAGAAGAATGCGTCAGCTTCAATCTGAATGTTCCAGTAAAGCCAGATGAGAGAGATCTTGTGATTGGTTCTACCTTTTAATCTCTCCATCAAGCACTCACTCAAAATGGAAGTGAGCTCAACAATTGTAAACATAGAGTAAGTGAAACCCAACATTTCTTCGTAAAAATTAGATATGTTACTAAGATGTTGCTGATATTGACTTGGCGGTGGTTATCATACCCAGGGGTTGCATGGTTGGAGAATAGACAGTATTGGTAGCAAATTGATTTGAGTAACTTTAGATAAGGAGCATGAACTTGTAAGAATAGACCTAACTGATATTATAAACTTGAACTAAATAAAGGAATAATGAGTATATATAATGTGGTTACTAAGATAAAAAAAATTGTATAACTAAGAATGATTACTAAAGGAGTGGAGATCGTAATCACACAAAATAAATAGTTATATATGGTAAAGGTAATTAAAATTTCAGGTTAGGAAAGTTCTGACAAATTTCGTAAGACTCCTGTGTAAGATTTCTCTTTAATGTAACTGGATGAGTTGCGTATATATACTTTTCATAAGCTAAATGTGGAGGGAATC